GGGCGATCGCCCGCCCGAAGCCGGGCCGGGGCGGCGGCGGCCCGGCCGACCGCGGGGGCCGCGCAGGCGTCGTCTACGACGCGCTCCTCGCCGGCGGCGCGGCCGACGCCGTCGTCAAGTGGCTCGTGCTCTGGTCCGTCGTCGCGTCCTACGCGTCCTCCGGCGCGCTCTTCCTCTACTGCGCGACGCTCGACCAGGGAGCGCCGCGCGCCGCGCTCGAGAAGAAGCCCCTCCTTGGCGCGGCGCCGCGCGGAACCACGCCGACGTCGCGCGCCCCGCGCGCTCCGGAGAGCGCGTCGCGTCTTCGGGCGCGCGACGCGCGACGGTCGCCCGCCCGAAACCGAGCCGAGATGAGCGCGACGCGGACGAGGTCCGAGCGTCGGGAAGCCGGGGGCGCCTCACCTGACTCGTCCCAGGCGACGACGCCGACGCCGAGGCCTGAGCGCCCCCTGCCCCCCCCGCCGCGCGCACGCGCGTGAAACCGGCGCGTTTTGACCCCTTAAACCACCGAGGAAGCATCTGCTTTCCCCGCTAGTGGACCTGGATAGCCGGTGGCACCGGCTCTGCGGAGGGTCCCCCGATGAAATCGCTTCCATAGAAACGACCCGTAGTGACGCGGTCTAAGACGAGTCCGACGCGTTGGATGGGAGTCCGATCTCCAATAACACTGGCATCGTTTATGATATATACGTTGGGCAATTATAATCACTACGGCTCATTTCCTATATGTCATGGGCCCGAGTCGCCGGCGGGTGAAATATGACGCTCGCCAGCGGGCCTCAGGCTCGGACGACACATGAGGACGACGACTCGGACTCCGAGCCCTAAACTGGAATCCCGCTGGATCCGCCGGCCCCGCCGGCCGCCCGTCGCGCGCCCACTGTGCCCCCCTCGCCCCCCCTGTTGTGTCGACCACCCCCCCGCACCCCGAGGCCTCTCCAGATAGGCCGGGCGCGGTAACTGTGTCTCGCATCGTGGCTAGAAACTCCGGGCACCCGGAGCCGTATACTGGAACTAGAACCGTTCTAGTTTGTTCTAGTAGGCCCCAGGCCCCCGGGGCCGCCGCCGGCGGCGGAACCTCGCCCAGAAACCCCCCCCTGCGCTGGAGGGGACCCCAAGGGACCCGAAACACCCCCGACAATTTTGGGTCGGCGGCTGGGGGCTTTACTCAGGCGCTGGGGGGCCGGGTGGGGTTCAAACTAGAACGCGTCGCCATTCCCGCGGGCTGTAGTACCCTGGGGTAACTTGGGCGGGTAACTTGAAGGTAGGGGGCCCTACTGGTACGTCTGGCGCCACAGACTCAGCGGAACTACGCTGTGGGCGATTGCAGCGCGAAGAGCGAGGGGACGTGAGCAAGGTGGCGAGTGGTCGGGCGGCCGTGGGGACAATTCCAGGGCTGCAGGAGGGTTGCGAGGTGGTCGAGCAGCTGGGTCATCTTTGTTTTGATGAGCGGAGTGCCGATCATCACAGCGGCGCGACATGCTTTGGATGCAAAGAGCGTGTGGAGCTTGGGGAGCTTGGGTAGTGGCGTGTCATGGGCGGCGTCATCGTCGAGAAGGGTGATGAGCTCGCGGATGTCTGACACGCCAAAAGTTGTGCCTCGTGCACTCGGGACCGAGATGACGGCGACGCGTCGTCCCGGGGGTGCGAGGTCATTGACGGCGAGGCGGAAGCCAACGCGTTCCACGGTGCATCGGCGCTCAAGAAGCGCTAGCTCCTCCGTGGCACCGAGGTCGAGGCTGAGGGGTGCCAGGAGTGGCTGTGTGTCAACGCGAGTGTCGCGCCAGAGCGCCTC